CCGGGGGCGGCCCCCAGCCAGTGGTTAAATGTCCGTGACGGCCACACCGGGACACACAGCCCTGGGCTTCCCAAGACAGGCAGCTGGCTTGCTCTATCCCAAACACCAGAGGAGACATCTCAAGGTAAAGATTTGGGGTTCTTTGGGTTGCTTTGGAGTTGCCTGGAGTGAAAATGGCCATCTTTGGGGATGGGGGCTGTAGATTGTCTTGCATGTTTGGGTAGAAAGCAGGAGAAACTTAAGCTGGGATGTAGATGTTGCTTCGTAAGGAGCACGGCTCTTTGCTCCGGTGTGTTTTGGGTGCAGGGTGGTTAGTGTGTCCCATGGCCATGTGGTGCTGGGCTGCTTCAGGGATTTGGAAAATGAGAGCAAAGCTGAAGGAAAGCCCCCACCGCTGCTTCCTGGCACCACTGGAACACCAGACCAGCCCAGAGGCCTCTGAGGATGGACCTCTCCATGGGGTTATTGCTCTGGAGTGCTCTGCTTTGGGGTGACAAGAGTTCTTAGGGGGCTGTGAGGACCCTTCCAACCCATACCATGCTGTGATTCTATAATTGTATGACCACACCAGCTGAGAGGCACAGCTCTGCAGCCCGTGGTTGCACGGCACTGCCCGTCTGTGGTGCGAACTCCTGTCATGGCCACTGAGCTTGGCTGGGTGGCAGGTGACATAATGGTGGGAACAGAGAATTCAGAGGAGCTTTCCCACTCTTTAACAGTTCTTAGAGGAAAAAAATCTGCAAGAATATAACCAGATCTTTTGAATCCCAAACCAAAGGGATGTTCCTGCCCAGGAGATGCCAGGATGTGGCACAAGGACAAATCCTTGGCATGTTTGATGATATGCCAGGCTGAGCACCACGTGCTGGGACAGCAAGGCTGTGTCAGTTGGAAAGGCTTTATGGGGCCAAGTTACAGCCAGGGACACATGCAAATACTTTGCTATAGTGTGCAAATTCTTTGCTTTAGTGTGCAAATACTTTGCTCCCCGTTGCAGCTGCAGGGACCACAACCGAGATGATGAGGGCTGCGTTCCTGGTGCTGCTCCTCTGGGCCGTAGCCTGCGCTCACCCTGTAAGTACCCATCCCACAGGTGCTCAAACCCCAAACTGGGGCAGTTGTGCCCAGCCAGGGTGCACCCATCACTGATTACATGTCTCCTGGATGTGTTTAGGTGCCCGGCCGTGAGCCCGCCCATCCTCACCGTGGTGCCCAGCAGGAGGTAAGCCAGGGGGTGGCTCAGTCCCACATTTAACAGCCACTCCAGGAGCAAATCTGGGATGGGGATCCAGCCCTGGGCAGGCATCCTTGTACCAGACACCTGGGGGAAGAGCTGCTGCTTCTGCAGGTCTTTGAGCTTTGCCTGTCTGCTCAGTTTTTTCAAGCTGAGGTTTCACCTCATTGCGCCCTGCACACGTTCCCAATTCACCTGATGTGTTCTGCTGCGTTTGTTCTGGAAAAGGAGCTTCTGTGCTCTGAGCCATCACAGTTTGGGGTTTTCTGGGTCACCTTTTTTGTTGGTGGCTACTTCTTTTTTTTTTTGTGTGTGTGTGTCAGCAGAAATAACCAAAGGGCTGAGGTGGTAGCAATGAAAAAAGCTTGAACACTTGCATGGCTTAGGAGTAATGTATCATCCTGCAGCAGGAGCAATCCATGTGCAGTGGTGTTTAATAAACCAAAGCACCGTCTCATGTTTTCCTTCCAGGATGCAGCAAGTGAAGATCACATCAATAAACTGGGCAACCTCCTGGATGGTGGAGATAGCAGACATCCTCCTGCCAGTGTGGAGAGAGGGGACAATGCCCTTGCCAGAGAGCTGGCAGGTGGGAATGCTGTGGGTGAGGAGCTGGGCGAACACAGTGTGCAAGACAAAGGAGGCAGAGCTGGGACAGCTCAACACCTGAACCTGGTGGACCACGAGGATGCGAGTGCTCGGGATGGGAATGGCCTTGGTTTCCTGGTGAGTGAGTGAGTGGAGAGGGATGTTTTGCTCTGCCAGAAAAGCATGCTTTGCCCCAAACCTGCTGTTGGTCTGGGTAGCACTTGGCCTGTGTGGCGAGCAGTGCTGATAGCACCCATGACCTGCAAGCCTTTGCATTCACCTCCATTTGTCATCTCCGTAGGAGGAGGACGCACGCGATGCTGATGATGGTGACAACAGAGAGCACCACGGCACTGGAGTCGGTGGGCTCCCCTCCCACGCCGGCGGGCTCCTGGATGAGGAGGATGACAGTGGGGATGACACCTTCGATGAGAACGGGGGAGAGGAAGGGGGTGAAGGTCCTACCTACGTGGCTGGCGCTGATGGAGCGGGCGATCACGACGCTGACCGTGGGGATGCTGGGGCTGGCAGAGGGCACGGTGACAGCAGCAGCAGCAGCAGCAGCAGTGAGAGCGTTGGGGAAGACCACCGGCGGTACAGAAGCTATCTGGGCAGCCGGTATGAACGGACCTACAGGCATGGAGGGGACAGCAGCAGCAGCCAGGAGGAGGAGGAGAGCTATGACTTTGAGGATGAAGCCATGCAGGGTGATGACCCCTCTGTCTTCGATGGTCCAGGTAGCAGCTTCAAGGGGCGACATGCTGGTCCCCGTGTCCCGGGGAGCAGCCGAGAGAGCAGTGAGAGGGCTGGCTTCCACTGGGAGGAGGGCGACAGCAGGTCCCCAGAGGTGGAGGATGCTGACTCAGAAGAAGACAGCCCATCTGTGGAGGAGAACAGTCAGTCAGAAGAGACCGACAACAGTCAGTCAGAAGAGACAATCACCAGCCAGTCAGAGGAAAAGAGCACCAGCCGCTCTGCTGAGGATGAGGATGAGGAGGACAGCCCCTCCAGGGAGAGCGAGGGCAGCAAGTCCAGGGAGGACACCACTGAGCAGTCAGATGAAGAGCCAGGGGAGTCCCCAGAG